CTCTAGACATCTTTTCCTTTGAGTTGTTGACTTCTAAACTATTTTCCACCTCTTATTAAGCACATTTACCATCATATTGGAATCTATTAAGGGCCAAAGGCCTTATGAAAATTTTACTGTCTTCAGAAAATTTAAGCTAAATGCATTTCGTAATCCTTAAAACATATGCCTAAACCTCCAATGCTAATGTCCAATGTATATTTATATAGATAAAGGCTAGACTGTGGTTATCAAGCTTTTTTTTTTTTCTCCAATAATGCACAGTTTAAAAAATACATATTTTGGGCTGGGGATGTGGCTCAAGTGGTAACGCGCTCACCTGGCATGCTCGGGGCGCTGGGTTCGATCCTCAGCACCACATATAAATAAAATAGAGATGTTTTCTCTCTCTCTCTTTAAAAATAAAAAATTTTAAATACATATTTTTTTATCATAACCCAGGATAAATAAATACTTGGTTCTCTTTTCATTGTAGAAATACTCTTTGAGTACTTATTAAATGTTTCAAATTACAGAAATAGAAAAGCACTGCTAGAATACTCAAGAGGGTTTATTAAAAACATTGTTTTTCTAAAATTGATTTTTTTTCTTTTTTTAATTAAAAAGACTATTTTTTAAAAAAAGGTATTAGTAATAAAACCTCACAACTTTTATTTGCTGCTAGATTCTGATTTATTTAATCATTTGACTGATTATTGAGAGCAGAATCTTTCATTTTTATTCCTGGTGCCAGTACTGGCTAGACACTTAAATATTTGTTAGATTGTTATTAGGTCACTTGTCTTTCCACCTGGTAAGGCCAGATAAAAGCCATCCTTCTTTAAGACAATAACAACAATCAAGTCTTGTTAAATTTTAGGAAAATACATGATGGAAATTGAAACAAATATTTTGTAAAATGTGAGGTTTAACTTTCTTCTTTCACAAAATTTAAGTATTCATTCTCTAGAAGCTAATTTTAGGTACAGTTTTTACGATATTTTGTATCAAATATGGAGTTCTTTTATATGAATGATGTTTAAAAAAATAACTTATCTGTGTGTGTTTATAACTACTATTTAACCATTTTTGTAAAGTAATGAAAACAGATATTGTCAGTTACTCTGTATCCTTAGACTGTATCAAGAGAGTAGAATACATTTATTGCTATAATTTAGTATCTGAATTTTCTTTTATAAGAAAGAAACAAAGTAAGTTTGCTATGTCAAAAAAGCATGGCTTCATTTTTTTTCCCCTTTCCTTTCCTTGAAACTTTTAAATATTTTTAATTAGAATTTTAGAATACTTTCCACACTGCCAGGTCATTTTTTTCAAGCGTATCTCCATTTTTACAAATTGTTACATGAAAAGGAATATTGGTTACTTATGGTATTTTTAAAAAAATATTTGTTTTAGTTGTAAATGGACTCAGTAACTTTATTATTTTTATGTGGTGCTGAGGATTGAACCCAGTGCTTCACATGTGCTAGGCAAGTGCTCTACCACTGACCCACAACCCCAGCCAACTAATGGTATTTTAATACAATAAAATTTTTATTTTTAAAAAATTTAATGCTCTGAATTACAATGAAGATACTATTTCATCTTCATTTTTAGGAAGGGGGCATATGAAAGGGAGAAATTAATATTTAAGGGCAACATCTTGCAGAAGGACAAAAAGTAATATATGAATAAAGTTGGTTTAAATGTTCATATTCTAGGCTATAAGCACTTGTATCCACAAGGGGGCATAATTATAATGTGGACTGTGTTTGAGCCCTGAGTACCATTGATAAGCTGAAGAAACTTTATAACTTTGGGTTCTTCCTAAAGCTCACTCCTCCTGTTTCAGTGTCTTCTACCAATGCTCCCACTCTATACATTCGCTTTCTTTGGCTTTCTACCTTTTCTAGGTCCTTCTTCCTGGCAGAAGCCCCTTCTTTCTTCTACTTGAAAAATAATTGAGCTATCATCAACCTTCATTCTTAGGACTTCTGTATAATTCTGAGTAGTTGACTCAGACTTAATGCTAATTCTAAATCTAGGTGCATTTCTTAGTGTCTTCCTGTTTTAAAAATATTCTGGTTGTTTCTTCACAGGCCAAAAGGCAGCAATGCTAATTGTGTGTCCTTGGGAGGCCAACGTCTTAACTGTCATGAAAGACCTTGGTCAGCTTTTTGTTCTAGAGAATTAGAGTCACGTTCTTTCAATATTACTTACATGGTCAGTGAATTCCCTGGTGTAATTTTTTTCCCATTTTACTTCATATTTCTCCTCTCAAGGGAATAGTGGCATCTTTTTGCTCTAAACTCCTAAAAGGCTTACATTCATTATCATACTCACATGTTTATGTTAATTTCTTTATTTTGTACCATTTAAAGCCTGTTTTAGGCTACTTTATGCACAGAACTATGGAGTAAGGTAATATGAATCACCGTTCTTGCTAAGCAAATCCTATTTCAAACACTTGACAAAAGCTCACTTTTCTTTTTTGTTTATACTTCCTTGAATACATGCCATTTCAATATTTCATACTACATTTTTGTATATTTTGTTAGATTACCAAACCCATTGTTCTCACTGCAGCATGTGGCATTACCTTACTGTATGATTACTCTATATGAATTTTTTTCAGGACTAATTGGATTCAAAGGTGGTAGTCACCAAATAACATTACTGTTCCTTTTTTCCCCCCCTATTAACAGTTTTTGTTTTACAATGATAGTAATTTGCTTTTTCTAGGTTAGTCCCTTCTGTGGTATACATTATTTATACATTATTTTCTATTACAAGATGAAGTTGGTGAGCTAGATAATACCTAAGAGTCTTTTATGAGTTCTCTGAATTGATTGGCTTTAAATTATCTTTCAGCACAAAAAATATAGTTCTGAGATGGAGTTTCTTTTTTTTTTTTTTAATACTTTTTTAGTTGTGGTTGGACACAGTACCTTTGTTTTATTTATTTATTTTTATGTTGTGCTGAGGATCAAACCCAGGGCCTCGCACACGCTAGGCGAACGTTCTACCGATAAGACACAACCCCAGCCCTTATTTTGCATTATTTTGGTAAGAAACTGTGATAAGTTAGTAGCAGCACTCTCTTGATGTACTCTTTTTTCTGAAACTTTTGTTTCAAAACTGACTTTGAGTAAATATATTTATTAATCTCTGAATAATTACTGTTTAGCCTTTGAAAAAAATATTTTCTCAAGTATGAACTGTGTAATTTAAAGATACAGAACTTTTCTTTGAAATTCTTTAATGTGAAAGCATGGTGGACTCACTATGATTTCATAAACATTTATTTGTGTTTACAGTAGGCAAACAACTCTTAAATAATATTCTTTATTATTGTATTATCTGGGACTTAGACTAAGAGAACATGAACAAAAAGATGAGGGAATGTGACCTAAGTTAATAACACATCTTTTACTTTAGCTGTAAGTCATTTTTAGCTATTTTGAATTATACATACAGCACCTAGCACAGTGCCATCAACACATGAATTACACTAAGCTGTCTGTGGTTGACATAATTGTTTCTGAAAGATTTAATCACAACATCAGAAATACTGGGTATGTTTTTATTGTCCTTTGTAATTTAAACAAGAATTAACCTTTGCATCTCAGGAAACAAACATTCTAATTGTAACTTTTTAAAAAAATCTTCTAATCTTATTGGTTACTAATAGAATTTGCTATTGAGAAAATGAAGGATGATCAGTTTTGTATCTGTGTTTAAAATGCAGTTCATCATTACTATTTTTGTAAGTTTTGTTAGATGACCAAAACTTTTGTTGTTAACTGCAGCACTTGTAAATATTTGAACCCTTAAATAATTTTAAGGGCTCAGTGAATATGACTTCTAAAAACATAGGCATTTAGTTAAATATATAATTCTTAAGTTCTTATGTAACTAGGAACTTAACCTTTTCTTCAGTAGACCAACAGGCAGCAATGCTAATTGTGTGTCCTTGGGAGGCTTTTAGCTCAATATCAGATGTATTTTAGTCACTTAATATTGTACATTGAAAAATTATTTTAAAAAGATACTTGGGATTGGGGACATTTATGGTAAAATTTAACCAGAAGATGGCAGTGATGATCCTCCTATACTCCCTGCAACGGTAATCACAAAGTTTTCGAAATGTCCTGGCATGAAAAGTGCACGTTCAACTGCTATTGTGTAATATTAAAAGATGACAATTTAGGGGAAAGTGTTTGCTATTTATTTTATATACTATGAAAAATGTATTTTCTATAAGAAGGGATTAAGAATATTTTGGGTGTCTGTATCTTTGTCTGTACACTTCAGTTTTTTCTGAATACTGGGGTAAGGAAGTTACCATAAGTCTTGCCTTGTTTGCATGCATCACTTTATGTTATGCATCATGTATAGAAGGCATGCTGTATTATGGCCTGTTTGCATTTTTCACCCAAATTGCTGGAAACTAATGGACATTTTAAAGGAGCCATTCCTTTAGTTGTAGTCATTTCTCTAAATTTCCCCATCCCCACCACCCCCCACCTCCACTTTTTTTGTTTGAGGGAAAACAAAATAATTTGAAATATTAATTTTTGAAAGAAAAATCATTAAACAAAAGTTAGTATTTCAAAATTTTGGTAAACCAGAGATTAAATTGACTTAATGAAGCAATTTCTGGGTTTTAATTCTGATAGCAATTGTAACTAATATTTAAAGTCTGGTGGTCTAGAAAATAAGAAGTTAGAAAGGGGAGAAGGAATGCTCTCCTTTGAAAATTGGTAGCCACATTTGGTGATGAATGAGATGAAGATGCATCCTTTCATAATCTTGCCTTTTAAAAATTTTCAGAATATGAAGTCCAAATGCATTTTGCCAAAGAAATTGCATGAATCTTCAGCATGCATTGTTAACGGTGTCTTTTCCCCTTTCTTTCTACTGTTCATTTTCATTCATATATTTTTGTTTTTTGGTTTGCCATTATTTTTTTCCCTTTTTGTTAATTACTTCATGTTAAATTATTTTTGAAACGTCATAAGCTGAGCAACCTCTCCGTGTAGTAACAGCGGATACCTGTCTGTTTCACTATTTAGTCCCTCCTCCTATGTCTCCATCTTCCAAGTCTGTGAGTACGCCAAGTGAAGCTGGAAGCCAAGACTCTGGAGATGGCGCCGTGGGATCCAGGTACAGTAATTTTCTTTTCTTTTTTTTTTTTTTAGAGAGAGAATTTTTTAATATTTATTTTTTAGTTCTCGGCGGACACAACATCTTTGTTGGTATGTGGTGCTGAGGATCGAACCCGGGCCGCACGCATGCTAAGCGAGCGCGCTACCGCTTGAGCCACATCCCCAGCCCCCAGTAACTTTCTTTTAATATTTTAATGATAGAACGTATTCCGTGTCCAAGTACTGTCATTTCTTTAGAGGGATCCTAAATAGTTGAATTGAGTTAATGTTAACATGTTAAAATCTCAGCAATATAAAAATTCTGTTGTAAATTGGGGGAAATTTTTAAAATATTTTAGCTGTCATACTTTTATACTCAATAGTTAATTTTATAAGTTGTTAATTTAATTTTTTTTTGTTTAAACATCATATCTGTTATTATGTGAATGTTTTGGTTATAATAGTGTAAAACCTTTGTTATACTTAATTCCCCATTCAGTAATGAAAAACCTAAATTAGTTAAGCAGTACAATTCTGTTTTATTAAATAACTTACTCTGCTAAGTAAGATAGAAAATGCATAAAATATGAAGAATAAGGAATAAAAACCAAGGAATTATTGAGAGAACTTACGGTAAAATTCTATTTCATGTTTGTTTTAAGATCCCGCAAACATGTTAGGACTTGTTTTTCAAAACTTCAGTACGATTATAGCTTTCTTCCAAAGATCATGTTGAGAAAATTATTAATCCCCCCCCCTCTCTCTCTCACACACACACACACACACACACACACACATACACGGTAATAGCAAATCTTTATCATATTTTTGACTTCTGTATTATAATTGAAATGAGAGTAAACATAGCTAGTCAAATCCACAGCTGATTCAGAATCTTCACTTTAGCCAGGAAGTTAATTATCCTCCCTAGAATAATTGCTTACCATACCTTTTTAATAAAAATTCAGGTATTAGATATTTTACCTTTTTTGTGCCTGGAACCCTATGATTGAAGATACAAGTATTCAATAATGAGTGAAAAGAAAGAGCAAGAAAAAAGAAGCAAGGGGACTGGATGATCCATAAAGTCAATACTTAAATTAGTTCTTGAATAATCAGGTTATTAACAATTAAAAGGCATGTAAAGCTTACCACTTTGAATTTAAAATGTGTTTTCCAAAAATTGCAAATCTAGCATTATTGCTTTTGGAGGTAAATGCTGTAACTCTTTTAAGAAAAAATCAAAACTTTCTTTTTACAATAATATTATTATCTTATAAAATATTATAAAAATAATTTATTTAGTTCAAATTCATTTTTTAGGCTAAATTTTTTCCTTCTGCATTTTTTATACAAATATTTCAGTTTTTAGGGGTTAGGGATGTAGCTCATTAGTAGAGCACTTAATTTGCATGTCAGAGTTCAATCCCACCATAAAAATAAACATGTCAATATAATTCCTTTAAATAACTAAAAAGCAACAGATATTTTCAAGTGAAGGGCTTTTTTTTCCTTCTAATACAAATATTACCATAATAAAAATATTTCCCACAATTAAAGTTTACTATATTAAATTTATTTGATAATAAACCTTATTTTTATATAGATATTATATTACAGTATGAACCCATTTTTCCTGATTTTGGATTGGAGTAAAAAGATTATTTTCACACATTGTTAGCAAAATTTACCTTCAAAAGTACTGTGTAAAATCTACTTTGGTTTGAAATAGATGTGAATTAAAATGTGTCCTCCTGAGTTTCACAGACAACTTAGAGATTAATAGAGACCCTTTGAAATATTTTAAATTGGTTCAGAGAGTAAGTACTGGCAGAAAAAGCATTTGTATATAGAACAGACATTCATCAATATTGCATTAAGTACTATAGTTTACCACTAAAACTAAAATGTTCAGGACTCTGCTCTTATAAAATATACATTCTCATGATGATTATATCATTAATTTAAAGATACTCTTCACTTTATTTAAAAGCTCTAAGGATAAGTAGTATATTAACTTATGTTTAGTATAAAATATAGATTTTTTATGATTAATTGTAAAAAATGAAAACAGGTAGTTTAGTATCTTCAGAGTTATTTGTTCTTATTAGAGAAAGTACAAATTTAGTTGTATTATTTGTTTCTAACAGAAAAGGAAGAAAATCTTTTTTAAAAAATAAGGTGATCTTATATCTTGTATCTTAACAGTGTCTCATTTGAGAGCACTGACTCAACTTTGAAACATTAATTTTCAAGAGGACCCAGTATATTATTTTACACACATATAACAATAGAAAACTGAATTCCACAGAAGCATCTTGAGATTCCATAATGGAGAGATAATTAATGTTGTAGATGGTGATTTTGGCAGTGAAATAATGCATTTCTAAATATGTGGCATTTAAAGAGAATACTCAGATCTCAAAATTAAAAAAAAAAAAACAAAGTAAACTCATATTGAGCAGGAATGATGATAATGGAAGAATAAAGACAGTAAGGAAATATCACAGGAAAATGCATGAAGATGTAAAAGATGTATGTATATGTATACTCCATTAGTTGGCCTAGATGGTCTAAGATTTGTAAACTCAACAGTAGGAAAAGATAGATTAGACATTGCAAATCATATCTAAACAAGTTTGAACCACCTTTTCTAAATTAATTTCTATTGGGACTGACAGTAATTTATGAAAAAGTATAAAGGCTGTGAGGAGAGATTTCTCTAACTTTGCAGATTACTAAGTTGCATTTCATTAAGTTTCTTATTCACTTTCTTAGTCACTTCTGTTAGCTTTAAAATTTAGATGACAGTTATTCAGTTGGGTAATTTATGCTTGTTTCTTTTTCTATTTTTGATCAGTTTATTTCTAAGCATTTTGGATTATTTTGGAATTGAACTTTATATATCTGAAGATGCCTTTGATAAGTATAATCATGTATGATGTACAATGTATTTTTAGTATGGCTATATTTTGAGGTAAAGTTTTATTTAATTTAATTTATTTATTTATTTAAAATTTTATTTATTTTTAAATATTTTTTAATTGTAGTTGGACACAATACCTTTATTTATTTATTTTTATGTGGTACTGAGGATCAAATCCAGGGCCTCATACATGCTAGGCAAGCAATTTACCGCTGAGGCACAACCCCAGCCTTTATTATTTAATTTACATTAAAATAATATCCTCAACCAGGAGCTTAACATTACTGATAACAGCTAGAGCTTTTGTATAATGTAAAGACTGCTGACAGAGTATGCCTTGGAGACCATTGCATAGAATCCCTTTTGATTTAACAAAGCCTAATTTTATTGTAATAAAAAGTAGGTCTTCTCTATAGTCTCTTTTTTCATTACATACACACAACTCTATTTAAATTCCAGTATCTTTCTTTATAGTTTTTAAATGAAGATTTTTCTCTAGTTTGTTTCATCTGATTGTTTTTAGTGATTAATTATATAGGCAGGTAAGGTAAAGAAATCATTTGTTGTAAATTGTAGCAGCTAAAATTCATTGTGCATTATAATGTGAGAAATATGCTAATACTACATAGAGTATTGAGCTTTTTTTATAGGAAGTATGAACACTATACAGTATTGCTAACTTATAAGGATGTCAATATGATATAGTGCTTTGTTCTAGTAATGACTAGATTTAGCTTAAGTGGAAAAAAATCCTGTGTAAGATATTTACCTAATGCTAAAACATCACTAAATACTTTGGTATTCTCCAAAAGTTAGGTAATTCTTTTGAACATAAAATATTTTTCCAAGGGAAATAATCTATTTTGTTTTTCCTAGAGACAGATACCTTTAGTTGTTTGCTAAAGTAGATGACATGTAAGCCCAAGGCAGTTCTTAACCCATAAATTATAGCAGGGTCACATTTTGGAAACTTTAGCTAGTTTGTATCCCAGTGGGATAGTCTTTGGCTTTCTTACTAAAAGAATTATGTGTTGACTCATTTCCTTTACTAGTATGACAATTTCCTGCACATATTTAATGCTTTGGGCAAGATATTTTTATTAATGTTTTTTGAATTAGGAATCTTGAAATTTTAATTTTTATAGCCTAGCTTGTTCTCATCTATAAATAATGTCTTATTTGGGTTATCTGCCTTAGTTATTCTTGCAATGTTAGTTTCTCATAATCTGAAAATAGTTTAGACTATTTTTCTTTATATGCTTGCATCTTTAACTGTATTATGCTTATTGCATGCACTACAGCATTGAGTGACACCTAATGTGGGGTTTTGTACTAACCAAAAGGTGTTTTTTAATTATAAACAGTAATTTAGCTTTAGATATTCATAGAGTGTATTTGCTTGACTAACTTATGGCCTTTTTTACTAATGCTTCATGGTTGTCCTACAACCATTTAGGACGCTGCATTGGGATACAGATCCATCAGTTCTTCAGCTTCACTCAGATTCCGATTTGGGGTATTGAATAGATTTATTACTTTCCCTCTTTTATAATTAATTTTACTCTTTGTGAAACTGTCCTAATTTTATTTTACTTAAACTTCTAATATTGTAATACATAGTTAAAACAAAAGAGTTATATTTTACTGTGACACCTCATTTATCCTGTATCATTAATGAAAGAAATACTCCATGTATGTTGTTTTATTAAAATCTATCCATTTGGATATCCAATTCTTCATATTATTTTTATATTTTTGTGTGAATTTTTCTAAGATGTACAAAAAATTATCTTTTTTGGATTACTTTATATGAATCTGTAGTTTTGAGAGGAACAGAAATGTTGGTGTCTACATTATGGCCCCGTGCTATTCATGCATTCACAGACTCTCATTCTAGGCTTCAATGAAAAATTGTAAATGTTTGCTACTGCCTTTATACTGACTCAGATAGCTCTTTTCCCTGATAATTTGCAACTTCTAAAATGTAACCATACATTTGCAAATCATATCTAAAACTAGAATAAATAAGCCTTGAATGAAGGCATGTAAGAAAAATATGTGAGATTCTTGTATACTAACCAAAAGCTTCTCTATTAGGGGCCCTGAGGTATTTCGCTTTCCCCTCCTATTGCTTCTTTATTTTCAGTAAAAGTGCTTTTGGATAAGCGAGGTATTACCTTCTTACCCTTCTCTGCCTATAAAATCTTGAAATATTTTGTTTGTTTCAATATTTTGGCTTTTGACTATTAGGCTCCATTTGCATTCAAGTTAGTAACTTGTTTGTAATACTATTGGAAAGACTTTTTTTTCCAGCTATGTGAGTGATTTACTTTTTATATGATTTGCATGTTGAAAATCAGGATATAAAGTTTTTATTTCAAAATTCTTATATTCCTGTAGGTTACTTCAAATATACTAAAAATTTCTCATTTACTTTTTGATTATGCTTTTTTTAATCTTTAGGGCTAAGATATTTCTAAAATAGGTAACCTGTTATAAACTTCCTAATGCTTATGTCATGGACCTTACAGTAAATTTTTAAAATGTATTAATTATATAACACTCTTTTGTACAACATTTGAATTAATTATTAAATAAAATTTAAAAAGATGTTTATATATATTTAAAATCACTTATATTACCAGTGACATGTATATTTCAGATACCCCACTTGATATTCAGGAAGTTGCAGCCATATCTTTGTTAGATATCCTTTTAAAATAGCTTCATAATTGAGAACTTCCTTGGAAGTCTTAGACATCTAATATAATAATTGAATAAAAATCCCCCATATAGCTACTGAAATATTTTTCTGTTTGTCCATTTTCTTTAGCTGTGTAACTCTCTTCTTCTAGGTCAAAAAATAATGCATTTCCTTCATTTAAAACATAAGTGACTATATTAGTTTTATTACATTCAGAAGATCTGTTGCTTTAGGGTAGGTATAGAATATCTGGATCTTAGTTTGACCATTATGAATCAAGGACACACTGATTGTGTAGAGATTTAAAAGTTTTAAAATTTAAATTGACAGTATAAGTCCAAATTTCTGCCTAATATAGGAAGTAGAAAAAGGTTTTCAACAGAAACCTTTTCTTTCAGTCATAGTCTGATTGAGATCCATATATCTGATTCTTCATAAACATCCAGAATCATATCCCTGTTAAAAACATCACTTGCAACCAGCCCTTTTCAACAATTTATTCTGAAATTCACGTTCTCTTACTCTATTATTACCCACACATTTGCTCTACAAAATAAAATTATTTGCCTTTTAAAGTAAAAAATAAACACCCCAAAAGAGTCAGAAGTATCTTTTGTTTTAGCTACCAATTCTTTTATTAAATGAAAGTCAATTTATTGTTCATCTAAAATTTCTTGATTAAAATGGATTGAAATTCCAATGTTAAATACACATAAATGTTCAATTCATATTTTCAAAAGTAACAGGGTTTGATGTTATTAAAATTTATCATTTGTTGTATTTAAAAATATTTATATTCATTTAATTTAGACGAGGACCTATTAAACTTGGAATGGCCAAAATTACGCAAGTTGACTTTCCTCCTCGAGAAATTGTCACATATACTAAGGAAACTCAGACTCCAGTTATGGCTCAACCCAAAGAAGGTGACTATCCTTAATATGATTGTCATTAAGACCACAAGTTAAGTAAGTGGATTTTGGGGTTTTTTTCCTTTCTCTAATTTTTTGTTTTGTTTTTTAGCATATTTTCTTAGGGAAACATTACAGAACTAATGCTTTATGGCTTCCATATTCATAACTTTGGGGTTTTTTTTAGAGTTTTTAACCTTATTCTAGAAGTTAACAGTATATGCTATGTATGTGCTTTTTTGTGTTGTTGTTGACATAAATTTAAATCTTTCGTACTCATTTTGTCATTAGCAGATCCTCCATTTTAGAAGCAGAAAATCTTCAAGAATATTCTATTCCTGTCATTTGAGTGTAATTCTTCCCCAGGAAAGATTGCGTCTTATAGTAAAGGAAGTCATAAATTATCTTCTGTACAGATGATGTGCTGTCATTATTATTTATATTAATGAATAAATCCAGACCTCATTCTTAAACTTCATCTTTTATAATCGAAGGACTCCACTATATTACATAGTAGCCTTTAATCTGTGTGTCATTCCAGGAAGTATGAATAGACATTGTATTGAATATGGAGTCCTTTAGTTTTTAAATGACAAAGAATTGCCATTTTTTAGTTGAGAATTAATTTTAAATAGCTAATGATTTAAACAAAAAGTAACTTGCTAATCATTTTCGTAAAACCAATGAGGCTAATGAATGTATGTCTTACATAAAAAAAACTTTCTATGAGATCTCTAATACAGCTTCATTCAGTCTCTTACCTAAAAACCCATGGGGCCATTTATGTATTAGAATTCAGAATTTTTCAGATTTTAGAAAAGTGGCAAAGTATACATACCATACATTAACACTTCTGCAGAATCTCGAAAATTAGTATCTTGGCAGCAAAAGGTAATGAATATACTGAGATAAATAATGATTAGAAATAGTTTTACCTCTGATCATCTCAGGGTTTATCACCAAAGCAGTAATGGATTTTAAAGTTGGTTGCAGTTTTGGAATTGTGGATAAGGTATTGTGGACCCATAACCAATAGTCTGTGCATAAGAAAATTTTTTTTCTACTTGCCCAGGAAAATATGTTCATATTTAATTACAGAAAAATAAATCCAGAAACCATCAGTGTTTAATTAATTCATCTTTAAAATTTCAGTTAAATTACCATGTTTCTCCACTAGGGAGAAACAAAAGTAATATTCATTGCAGAAAATCAAGAAAATACAGGTAAGTGAAAAAGACGGGTAGGGAGTGGGGATGGGGAAAGTAAATATTCAATTTTCTTAATTGTGTATATCTCAAAAGAAAATTAGAGTTATTACTGTTTGCCTTTTTACTTTACAGTAGATAATCAGATATGTTTTGTTTTTGTTTTGTTTTGTTTTGTTATTGGTACTGGGGATTTAATCCAGGAGTACTTTACCACTGAGTCACATGTCCGACCCTTTTATTTTTGATTTTGAGACAGGGTCTCATTACTAAGTTGCTGAGGCTGATCTCAAACCTGCAATTCTCCTGCCTCAGCCTCCTACATATATAACTTTAATAACTCTTCTTTTTCTGCCCTCTAAGGATGGAAATGGAATGTATTTAAATACCATGGGCATTTCCTTTCCTTGTTTCCAAAAGGAGTTAAAGCCATTGATGCTAAACTAGAGATATAAGCAACTTAAAAAAAAAAAAAAAGGAGGGAGGAGGAAGAGGAGGAGGAGAAGGAAGTAAGCGATGGAGGGAGGAAGGGAGGAAGGGTTGAATTATCAGTATGGAGAATACTAAAACTGCAGGATTCCATAATTTCCAGAAAATACTATTTTATTAACTAGTCCATTAATTTGAGTATTAAGTCTGTCTTTTTGAAGTTATATTATTAGATGTATGAACTCAGAAAGTGGCAAAATTGCCAAAATGAAGGCACAGTGACTCATTTAAAAACAGATTAGACCTTTTTTCTTTTTGGGGAAATTTGAAGATTGTATCTTTAGTTATACCATCATACTTATGAAATGCCTTTTGGATGTTTGAATTGTTCAGCATTGTAAAGGTATTTTTGATAATAACTTATAACTGTAATTACATTAAATTTAAGGGATGACTTTCATTTTTTAAAATAATTTTTTCTGGGGCTGAGGCTGTAGCTCAGTGGTAAAGTACTTGCCTCACATGTATGAGGCACTAGGTTCAATCCATTGCACTACATAAAAATAAATAAAGATACTGTGTGTTCATCTACAACTAAATAAATATTTAACAATCACAAAAATTTTTTTTGTAACTAATAGTAGTAACTCTAATAGTAGTAACTTATTAGTCAGAATTTAGAAAGTACAGAAGTGATGTAAAGGGGAAATTGTGTGGTACAATTTTGATTTATTCATTGTTGATATTTTGTTTCCAATGAATATATTCAGTTTTCTATGAATATGTTTTCAGAAATTATATATTTGTATATGTATAGATACAACTTGGTGTCCTTGAATTTATATTTTGAATTGCTTATTTTTAGATGTTTATAATTTTAAAATGTAAACATGTAATTTATTGCCCTCGAATTAATATTTTTTTTTTTTAGTTATACACAGACACAATACCTTTATTTTATTTATTTGTTTTTATGTGGTGCTGAAGAGTGAACCAGTACCTCACACATGCAAGCAAAGGCTCTACTGAGCTACAACCCCAGTCCCCCTCAAATTAATTTTAATATAGAACTGGCATAATACAAGACTGACATTTTTCAAAAAAATTATTTTTCCATTTTTGTAAGTAATTTTAAAAAATAAAAAGATCATTTATTAGATAAACTGATGATCCACAAGCACAAGATAAACTGTGTTCTTTTCTGTTTGAAATTATTCACGGTGTCTTGTTAGCATCATTATACTTCAGCTTCTTTACCAAATTTTCCATGAGCATAGGGACTATTTCTTCCTTACTGTGATACTTGACCTGAATAGTGTGTGGCATGTAGTAAATACTCAATAAATACTTGAAATAAATTGCTGTTACCTACTCAGGAGAATGATTTTGCCTATTTGGGATGTTTCTTTTCATGCTTTTACTCTGGAAGCAGCTACTAGAAAAATCAGGTGTTTTTTTTTTAGTATTAATGCTATAACATAATTATTGATGAAATTTGGATAAAGACTGTGATTAGTCTCAGGTCTTAATATGACTGTAGACTAATCATTATTTGCTGGCCAGAAATGAAACCATTGGATTCTCCTTTATAGCCTTCTTGAATTCCATGTTTATATCAACACAGTAGTTTGTATCTCGTTTTATCACTGGGTTGATATAAACATGTGCTGTTACTTTATGTTTTCTGTATCCCTCTGAATACCATGAACAAAACAGAACTTGTCAGCATCTTTTAAATAAATCATTCAAGTTATTCATTTATAATTGTTCTCCAAACTTAATGTTTAAATTGATGACTGAAAAAGAGTGCTCACTACATATGAGGCATGGTATGAGCCACTTAATGTTATCCCTTGTCCTTTCATCAAAACTCTGAAAGTGAAGTTGGTTTTTATTTACACTCAAAGAAGCTGAAAGAGGTAATTCATCAAGGGTCACCTAGCCAATAGCTACGATTCTAAAGCAAGTCTAATGGATTGATTCTAAGATATGCTTTTTCTCATGCCATGAAGAAGCAACTTTTATGCTTTTATGATAGTGAACTACAGTAATTACTTCAAGTTGTATTATAATCCAGTATAAACAGCTATAGTACATTCCTTTCTCTTATTATATTTAATTTTTTTAAGTGTTGATCATAACATGCTTAATTTATTGGTTTAAATCTTTAATTTGAAAAACCTTCATTAAAGGAGAGCATGGTTTGGTTAGCTTGTTTATTGATATTTCTGCATCAGGATAATATTTTTAGTGATAGTCTCAGAGCAATGAATAAGCATCTTTGTTCTTCCCCAGTGCTGAATAGAATATTTCTTACCTTCACTGATAGGAAGTGAAAATGATGAGATGGGTGAAACTGAGCCCAGTTTTGTTGTGGTTTTTATTTTGTGGTGTGAGGATTGAACCCAGGGCCTCATATACACTAAGCAAGTCCTGTACCACTGAGTCACATTCTCAGCCCATGAGCTGAGCTCAGTTTCTAAGGGGAATGTCCATTCAGCACCATTACTTTTTCAGTTTTCTTACGTAGACTAAACTTAGATGTTGATTTTATAAGAGTTCATGTTTGCTTATTTCTAATCTAGCAAGTATCCATTGATTCTGAATTTATCGATTTTATGTTCTCTGTAGGTAAAAGCACTAGAGTATCTTTTCTTTGATTTTTTTTTTTGGGGGGGGAGAAGGGGTACTAGGGATTGAACTCGGGAGCACTCAACCTCTGAGCCACATCCCTAGGCCTATTTTTTTGTATTTTATTTAGAGACAGGGTTTCACCAAATTGCATAGTGCCTCACTATTGCTGAGGCTGACTTTGAACTTGCGATCCTCAGCCTCCCGAGCCACTGGGATAACACACTCAGCCTCTTCTTTGATTTTGTAGTCTTTTCAGTTATAAGTTAAGGTATATAAGTGAATGAGAATGAAAATTGTATTCTAATACTAAGAAACCATCCTTAGCCTTTGAAACTACTTAATTCTTTCCTTTCTATATCATTACAGTTAATTTAATGTCTGGGGCTCTTATATGAACTTTCTTTTGCCAGGTTGTAGAAGTTTTAGAAAGAGGAAGACCTTGAAATTAAGATTTTATAAAGCAAGACTGGGGATGTAGTTCAGTGGTAGAGCGCTTGCGTAGCCTGCACAAAGGCCCTAAATTTGGTCTTCTACTGCCCACCCCTAAGAAAAAAGAAATTATAATGCTATAAGGCATACACTTTGTGCTTAAATGTACCCATTGCTTTGATACATTAGCTCTCAAACTCAGCATAGTTGGTTCTGACTTTAGAATTATGTAACAGATCTGGGTGTGTAACATGGATGCAGCCCTTGGGTTTGACCTTCAGCACTGCCAAAAAAGTTTTTTTTAATTATGTAACAAAA